GTGGTAATGAACAAGTAACAGTGGTAATGAACAAGTTTACTGTGGTAATGAACAAGTTTACAGTGGATAATGAACAATTACAGTGGTAAAGAACAAATTTACAGTGGTAATGAACAAGTTACTGTGGGTTAATGAACAAGATACAGTGGTAAAGAACAAGTTACGAGTGGTAAATGAAACAATTTACAGTGTAATGAACAAGTTACTATGTTTTTAACTGGTCACAACCGTTAATGAGTTATTTAGACAGACGTAATTAAGACGAACAAAAATATTACCATTATATTACAGCAAGATATACATGGTAAAAACAAGTTTAAGAAGTTTAGTGGATTATTTAGAGTGGAGAAAGTTCAGCGTGAAGATGGTGCGATACCCTTTGTGATATTTATGGTACAAGAAATACGTAAACATTACTCGTAATGAACACTCTCTAGACAAGAAATTGTGTCCTCACATGATGGTTAAGAATCAGTTACAATCCAACCGAGTAATGTGTGGAGACAGCGGAAATACAGACAGTACCACATATATGCACACACAAATGGGCCAGGGAGGTGTGAATCGACCTCTGAAACCACATAGTTGAGTGCAAATTAGAGTTGTCAGTGGCAATAAAAACACAAATGCAGTATAATTGTGATCCTTTAATGACTACGTTTCGCCCACACAGTGGGCTTTTTCAAGTCACAAACGTGAACAAACTACCTGGGGTGGAAGGAACGCGATAGTATTTTATAGTCCCGGCTGAGGTCAGGAGAAGAATGAGCGCATTCTTATGATGTACCGAGTTGGGTTTGTAGAGTCTAAAAAGGCTTTGGGTAGCTTGGAAGGAGACTGGACAATTTTTTTGCGGCAGGACCTTCTACAGAGTACATAGTGGATGCGATGAAGAAGTTTCATGTGCAATTGTTTCAGCTATGTTATAGAAGCCACTAATCTGTTGAAGTTGTCGGATACAGAAATAAGTGTGAATTCCTGGAATCTACGTATTGGTGTTGTCTCTGTGGCGATAAGTCTTGAGTTTTTTGTCTGTAGTTTAATCAAGGTGGTTGTGATGAATTACGGTGTTGTACGCAAGCATTCCTTGTGTCGTCAGACCTCTTGCGTAATTGGTGTTCTGAAATACGTGTTTGGAGTCCCTTGATGTTCGCCCACGTAAAACATGTTGCAGTCATTACAAGGGATTATGTATACCCCTGCAGAGGATGAGGCTTGTCCTGCCTACTACTGGTGATGTCCTTTGATGTCGTGTTGTGGAGTAGAAACTTGGAATGATGTTAGGCAAAGATGTTTGGAAACAAGTTGGCAATGAAGTTGGTGGGAAGGAAAACTATGTATCTCTTCTCGCAGTGTCTTCTCTGGGTGTGTTGAAGATGTTTTAATCTCGACGTCTGCAGTCTCTTGGATGAAGAGACGAGGATAGAGGAGTTTGGTAAAATACCTGTTCAATTATATGCATTCTTCCTCAGGAACTCGTTTCCGCAGATCTGATGCACGCAGGAAGAAGCCTATAATTTACACCACGGTTTGGTTTGGTGTCGTGTGAGAGTAGAAGGAGAAGATCGTTTTGTAGGTGCTTTTCGATAGACTTTACAACGAAGTTCGTGGTCACATGCAGAGTAAGAACATCAAGGAATGGAAGTGTTGTCGACCTCTTATTCAAGTGGTGAACTGGATGAAAGGCTCGAACCTGGTTGAGCTTGTCTTGGAGAGCTTTGAACGTTTGAAGCGTTTAGGAGTTATGAGGGAATGTCGACAACGATAACGGAGCCTGTGACAGACGAAGGAATAAATGGAGGAGAAACGTTCGGCTTCTAGATGTTTCATGTATAGGTTTCGCTAGGACTGCACTGAGGTGGCAAACCCATGGTAATTCCAAAAGTCTGCTGAAAGAGTGATATTCAAAAAGAGAAACACGAAAAGCCAACACAAAGTTCAACCAGGTCGAATGTGAAGTCCCGCTGGCTGGAAGGGAAGATCAAGTGAATCGTCATTTTCTGCGCATGAGATCGATGCTTGTTAGTAGGTACTATATTGAATAGGGACGTCACGTCAACAGGAAAGTTACTTGATCCTGATGTTGATGTTTCGATTGCCGAATAGACAGATCACCTGAGCGGGTTTTGAGATGTGCTGGACTGATAGTGCCCAAAAGTTTCGAGAGGTGTTTTGGCGAAAATCCTGAGAAAGCTGTGTGGGAGCACTGCCTATTCCGAGGATAGGGCTCAGTGGGATAACCAGGCTTGGTAGTCTTTGGCTGGCCGTACATTCTGCAGTCGGGTTTGCTGGGCATGGTGTGTCAGAAGTTCCGTTTTCCTTTTTCTGACTCCTCAGAAGCGGCTAGTCCTTTGAAAGAAAAAAAGGGTATTTTTTAGGTAAGAGTTTGTCCCACCTTGGTTAGATTGTGAGAGGTTTGTAGTTAATCTCTGGGTCATTAAGTAGATTGAGCAATTTGTTCCTGTAATCGACCCAAAATTCATCGCCAAAAACTACAGACACAATGGACTCCCGACTTCCAAAAGGCTATCATCAAGGCATCAACTCAGCAGCCATCTCAACACGCCAGCTCCCCATGACATACCACCGACGTTACATCAATGCACTCAAAGGTTTAGCAGAAGACACGAACCATCCAGGTCACCACCGCTTGGATAAAAGGAGGTTGTGTTTTGTCATCATGAACACTGACGATTACAGGAAAATGCTCAATCTACTTAATGACCCAGATACCTACAAACCTCTCACAACTAACCAAGTGGACAACCTTACTAAAACTTTTCTTCAAAGGACTCGCCGCATTCTGAGGAGCTCAGAACAAGGGAAGAAACTTCTGCACACCATGCCCAGCAACCCCAGACCTGCCAGAATGTACGGCCTGCCAAAGACTCACAAGCCTGGTATCCCACTGAGGCCCATATCCTCGGGAATAGGCAGTGCTCCCCACAAGCTCTCAGGAATTCTCGCCAAACACCTCTCGAAACTCTTGGGCACTATCAGTCCAGCAATCTCAAACACTCAGGTGATCTTCTCAATCGCATTCGCAACATCAACATCAGGAACAAGAAACTTTCCAGCCTTGACGTGACTTCCCTATTCACTAAAGTACCTACTAAACAAGCCTCGATCTCTTGCGCAAGAAATTGACGATTCACTTGATCTTCCCATTCCAGCCAGCGACTTCATCGACCTGGTTGAACTATGTGTTGGCTTTACGTGTTTCTCTTTTGAAAATCACCTCTTTCAGCAGACTTTTGGACTACCCATGGGTTCGCCACTCAGTGCAGTTCCTAGCGAACCTATACATGAACATCTAGAAGCCGAACGTTTCTCCACCATTTATTCCTTCGTCTGTCACCTGGCTCCGTTATGTTGACGACATTCTCCTCATAACTCCTAAACGCTTCAACGTTCAAGCTTCTCCAAGACAAGCTCAACCAGGTCGAGCCTTCAATCCAGTTCACACTTGAAGAAGAGGTCGACAACACTCTTCCTTTCCTTGATGTTCTACTCTGCAAAGCTGACCACGAACTTCGTTTTAAGTCTATCGAAAACCCACCAACCAAAACGATCTTCTCCACTTCTACTCTCACCACGACACCAAAACCAAACGTGGTGTAATTATAGGCTTCTTCCTGCGTGCACTCAGAATCTGCAGCAACGAGTTCCTTGAGGAAGATGCACTATAATTGAACAGGTATTTTCCAAACTCCACTATCCTACGTCACTTCATCAGAGACTGCAGACGACGAGCATTAAACATCTTCAACACACCCAGAGAAGACACTGCCGAGAAGAGATACATAGTCCTTCCCACCAACTCCATTGCCAACATGTTTCCAACATCTTTGCCAAAACATCATTCCAAGTATCTACCTCCACAACCACGACCATCAAGGACATCACCAGTAGTAGGCAGGACAAGCCTCAATCCTCTGCAGGGGTATACATAATCCCTTGTAATGACTGCAACAAGTTATACGTGGGCGAAACATCAAGGACCTCCAAACACGTATTTCAGAACACCAATACGCAAGCAGGTCTGACGACACAAGGAATGCATGCGTACAAACACCGTAATTCACACAACCACTTGATAAACTACAGAAACTCAAGACTTATCGCCACAGAAGACAACACCCAATACCGAAGAATCCTGGAATCATCACTTATTTCTGTATCCGACAACTTCAACCAGAATAGTGGCTTCTATAACATAGCTGAACCACTTGCCAAGAAACTTCTTCATCGCTATCCCACATAAGAACACTGTAGAAGGTCTGCTCACAAACTTGTCCAGTCTCCTTTCCAAGCTACCCAAGTTTTTAGACTCTACAACCCAACTCGGTACATCATCAGATGCAGCATTCTTCACCTGACCTCAGCCGGACTATAAATACTCGCGTTCCTTCCACCCCAGGTAGTTCTGTTTGTGACTTGAAAAAGCCCACTGTGTGGGCGAAACGTAGTCAATAAAGGATCACATTATACTGCATTTGTGTTTATATTGCCATTGTGTCGGTATTTTATACCATTTATTTCCATAGAGTTGTCAGGAAGTGGAATAGGCTAGAAGTGATGTATTGGAGGCAGGAACCATACGTACTTTGAAGACGAGGTTTGATAAAGCTCATGAAATAGGGAGAGAGTGGATCTAGTAGCGATCAGTGAAGAGGTGGGGCCAGGAGCTATGAATCGACCCCTGCAGCCACAAATAGGCAAGTACACTATTTTTAATATTCTACAATCCATATCCATACTTCATTCCGGGTCATTGGTCATAAGTATCAGCATATTCAGATAAAAAAAAAAATAGGCGAAATACATGAGCATATTTCAGCCTCATTCAGTGGGGTCTCTGAGGCAGCAATATACAGATTCATTTTCGCCTGTGTTTAACTTTTATGCCTAGGTGATTCCACACCTGTTATTGATCAGTGTTTATTACTCTCTAATCTAGATACCTTACAATAAGCTTAAACTATCACATCTTCTTACAGAAGACGAGAGCGTCAGCGGCGTTGGTGGTGATGCTGTCAGTGTTGTTGCAGCTGTCGGAGGCAAGACCAGAGAACACCAAAGTCGTCGTTCCAACACTGCTAGAGTCTCCTGCAGAACCCATTATTACCAGCGATATAAAAGATGAAAAAGACATTGTTGTTAACCCAGAAGGCCTTGGTAAAGCCTTCGGCGCGAGTTTACCTGGCTTAGCCGCTGGAGGATCTGGATTTTCAGGAGGAGTTAGTACAGACTTTGCGACGAAATTATCGGTAGGGGTTGGACCAAGTCATGGAGCAGGAGCTGGATTTGCAGCAGGAGCTGGTGTAGGTCACGGAGTAGGAGCTGGTTTAGGTCACGGAGTAGGAGCTGGTGTAGGTCACGGAGTAGGAGCTGGTGTAGGCCACGGAGCAGGAGTTGGATTCTCAGCAGGAGCTGGTGTAGGCCATGGAGCAGGAGCTGGAATCTCAGCTGGTGCAGACTTTGGAGTAGGAGCTGGATTCTCAGCAGGAGGTGCTGTAGACCATAAAGTAGGAGCTGGAATCTCAGCAGGAGCTGGCGTAGGCCATGGGGCAGGATCGGCAGTCATCTCCTCTGTTATCCCCGGAGCGAAGAAAACAACGACCGTCAATGTCGGCGTCCCACACACTGGTGGTGATGGAAATCACGTGGGAAAACTCTTCAGCGTTCTGACACAAGGAGCAGCTGGAGCCACCGGACACTCTTCGGCTGGTGGTGGAGTCTTGAACCTGTTATCCTCACTGGTTGGTGGTATCACCGGAGAAGGAGGTAAAAATATATTGGGTGCTCTTGGACTAGGACCAGAAACTCTCCAGTCTTTTGTTCAGATAGCCTCTTCATCCGCAGATGATATCGCTCGTGAAGCCAATCTGGGACTGAGGTTTGTTGGAGATGAAATTCAGTTTCAAGGGGAACAAAGATTGAAACAAGCCCTACGAGGCGTCCAGCAGGCAGGACGCACAACCGCGCTAGTGGGACAGAACACCTACCGTGGTGTGTTGCAGAAAACAGACTCTCTCAGCGACTTAGCAAGAGGCACAGTACATAATGTTGGTACATATGCAGACAAATCTGTCGCAGCATCGTTCGACAAAGTCTCTGATACCCTTGGCGCCTTCGGCCGTCTGTTCCATGACTTGAAGGTAGCATTCCTTGATAATATCATCAAGAAGGGAGAGGCTGCAAAGGAACTGGTGGACGAGCAGTCTAAGACTAAGGCAGTCGCTGTTGAAGAGATTATTGGCGGTGTAAGAGACGTCACTCGAGACAACATTCGCGCCATAACAGGGTTGAAAAAGAGCGTTAAAAATACTAGGATATAAATCTTCACGTTATTAGTGACGTGTCCCTCAGAATACGAATGGCACTTCGTTAGTCATACAAATCGTGAGTGTATGAGGGAGATCACTATACACTATTACATACCCAGTATTCAAATCAACATTTTCTTATGACGTTTCAGAACTGGTGTTACAGTCTTCATTTGTCAGTAAAACTATGAATGGATTATAGTTTTCGAACACCAGTATATCTGTTGTAGTAATAACAGTATATCTGTTGTAGTAACAACAGTATATATGTTGTAGTAACAACAGTATATCTGCTGTAGTCACAACAACAGTACATCTGTTGTAGCAGCAATAACAGTATATTCGATGTAGTAACAACAACGGTATATCCATTGTTGTTACTACAACGGTATATTCGTTGTAGTAACAACAGCATATCCGTTGTTAGTCACAACAACAGTACATCTGCTGTGGCCATAACAACAGTATATCTATTAGGCTTGAGAATTTTCCCATTAATTTGTTTCGTATATGTCATAAACCACTGTAAAAGGTATGCACATTTTTGATACCTATGCACATCTCCAACTCTGATTATCCCTGTGTCTGATTCCCTATAAACAGTCCAGTTCTGACGTAAATTTACATATCAAGTATTGGCTACATTAAGAGAAACTAACATTCAACAGCAGTGTTTACACAGTTTCTTGAGTTGTCACGACTCTTAACATCAACACCACCAACACCAGTTTGTCACTTTTACTTGGAGAAAGGATGTTGATCCGTCTGTAGCGCTCCAGAACCTGGTGTCTCATGTGCTCTACCAGGAACTGTATCTCCTGGAGGCGATGCTAGCAGACAAGCCAGAAGAAACCTTCCAGCAGCACCCTTGTTATGAAACCACCTGCTGGAGGCGATGCTATCAGACAAGAAAGAAGAAACCTTCCAGCAGCACCCTTGTTATGAAACCACCTGCTGGAGGCGATGCTAGCAGACAAGCCAGAAGAAACCTTCCAGCAGCACCCTTGTTATGAAACCACCTGCTGGAGGCGATGCTAGCAGACAAGCCAGAAGAAACCTTCCAGCAACACCCTTGTTATGAAACCACCTGCTGGAGGCGATGCTAGCAGACAAGCCAGAAGAAACCTTCCAGCACCACCCTTGTTATGAAACCACCTGCTGGAGGCGATGCTATCAGACAAGAAAGAAGAAACCTTCCAGCAGCACCCTTGTTATGAAACCACCTGCTGGAGGCGATGCTATCAGACAAGCCAGAAGAAACCTTCCAGCAACACCCTTGTTATGAAACCACCTGCTGGAGGCGATGCTATCAGACAAGCCAGAAGAAACCTTCCAGCAGCACCCTTGTTATGAAACCACCTGCTGGAGGCGATGCTAGCAGACAAGCCAGAAGAAACCTTCCAGCAGCACCCTTGTTATGAAACCACCTGCTGGAGGCGATGCTAGCAGACAAGCCAGAAGAAACCCTCCACCTTCGTTATGGAACCATAAAACATCTCATTCTCTACAGAATCAAATCATCTTTACCCAAACATCAATATACTGAACCTCTTGTGTTCTTCTTACTCTTAAAACAAAGCTTATACAATATACTGAGTGTATCATTATTCCTTGATGCCGGCGATGGGCTCTTGATCCAAGAAATTTTATCCCGTCTCCCCTTCCTTGGATCGAACCTGATTGCCTCCCATTCCCTAGGTGCTATTTAGGCCCTTAAGGGTTTAGCAGTACCCATAAATACAAGATGTATTTGAGTCACTGCACGATCAGAGATAGTTATCCCTGTGTTTTATAAGCCTAGTCTCCTCGACGATGCAACATTCCCCCAATGAAAAGCAGGGGCACCACTAGCACGATAAGAGGCAACACAATAAGTGTCAGGGGCCCAATACTGTTCAACTGCTTCCCAGCATACATACGAGGGGGGGTTACCAATAGACCCATGACTGTCTTCAAGAAGGCACTGGACAGGCACCTAAAGTCAGTACCTGACCAGCCGTGCTGTGGTTCGTTCGTCGGGTTGCCTAAGGCCAACAGTAACAGCCTGGTTGATCAGGCCCTGATCCACCATGAGGTCACAGACCGGGGGGGGGTGACCCCCGAAACCCTCTCCAGGTGTGTATGTTTGTGTGTATGAAATTCTCTATGTATGTTCACTTTTATATGTGCATGTGTCCGCATATGGAAGAGGTCACAGTATAACGTGTGATTGTAAATATGATAAAAATACCACAGTGAAAAATGGGAAAATCTGAGGGATAATTATCCCTCTGAAGATATGTGTCAGCAGGTGAAAGCACTCAGATTTTGCTTCCTATTTTCACTGTGGTATTCTTTTCATGTATGCATACGATAAGATTTCGTTCGGATTTTTAACCCCGGAGGGTTAGCCACCCAGGATAACCCAAGAAAGTCAGTGCGTCATCGAGGACTGTCTAACTTATTTCCATTGGGGTCCTTAATCTTGTCCCCCAGGATGCGACCCACACCAGTCGACTAACACCCAGGTACCTATTTGCTGCTAGGTGAACAGGACAACAGGTGTAAGGAAACGTGTCGGAATTTCCACCCGCCGGGAATCGAACCCGGGCCCTCCGTGTGTGAAGCGGGAGCTTTAGCCACCAGACCACCGGGCATATATGTATTTACATGTGTAGTTTTTTGTATGTTTGCATCTGCATGTTGCATTGCAATTTTATGACCACCCTTCAGTATTCCTCTGTATGCACTGAGGCAGAGGAGGTTGCTGGGTTTATGGAATACGGGGATACCTTCCTCTGATCGTCCAGAGACTGTAATACTTATTAATGAGCCTAGTGAGAGACTGGCTCCATCCAGGTGGTGTAAGTATAACATCACAACAGCTGAAGTCTGCCTCTCACATAGACGTTTGACAAATGTAAGTGGCAGTAAATCTGGGGCCCCATACAGCTGCACCGCCCTGTTACTCTGGTTGTTACAGAGAATATGCAAGAAGTGCTTATGTGGCTGGTACGGTTGTAAGGGGGAAATCAAAGACAGAGTAACGATAATATGTTAATTAGACACATGTGTAACAGTTGGCCATCTTTTATTGATGAAACATTTCGCCACACAGTGGCTTCATCAGTCTGTACAAAGAAGAATGGCGAATATCAGAAGAATTTTGAGGTAATCAGTTGGACATGTGTCTGATTTACCAACTTGTCATTTCTCTGAACATTTATCTACAGTAATAATGTGCTCTCCTCGAACCACTCGATTCTTCACTCTCAATCGACACCACACCATCTACAGACGATCGAATATGAACTGAATTGTAAACATAGGATTTAATTCTCTCATTGTTCCCAACACCTTACAGTGATGAAGGTCGAATAAATTGTGACCTGTTCAGTATAGATATCCCCTGCCCTCCTGAGCACTGTTACAGCTGGGGTACATGGCATCCCTTGCCCTCCTGAGCACTGTTACAGCTGGGTATTGGCATCCCCTTGCCCTCTGAGCACTGTTACAGCTGGGGTACATGGCATCCCTTGCCCTCCTGAGCACTGTTACAGCTGGGGTACATGGCATCCCTTGCCCTCCTGAGCACTGTTACAGCTGGGGTACATGGCATCCCTTGCCCTCCTGAGCACTGTTACAGCTGGGGTATGTGGCATCCCCTGCCCTCCTGAGCACTGTTACAGCTGGGGTATGGCATCCCCTGCCCTCCTGAGCATGTTACAGCTGGGGTATGGCATCCCTTGCCTCCTGAGCACTGTTACAGCTGGGGTATGTGGCATCCCCTGCCCTCCTGAGCACTGTTACAGCTGGGGTATGTGGCATCCCCTGCCCTCCTGAGCACTGTTACAGCTGGGGTATGTGGCATCCCCTGCCTCCGAGCACTGTTACAGCTGGGGTACATGGCATCCCTGCCTCCCGAGCAATGTTACAGCTGGGGGTAATGGCATCCCCTGCACTCCCGAGCATGTTACAGCTGGGTATATGGCATCCCCTGCACTCTCCGAGCACTGTTACAGCTGGGGTACATGGCATCCCCTGCCCTCCCGAGCACTGTACAGCTGGGGTACATGGCACCCTGCACTCCCGAGCACTGTTACAGCTGGGGTACATGGTATCCCCTGCCCTCCCGAGCAATGTTACAGCTGGGGTACATGGCATCCCCTGCCCTCCCGAGCACTGTTACAGCTGGGGTATATGGCATCCCCTGCCCTCCCGAGCACTGTTACAGCTGGGGTACATGGCATCCCCTGCCCTCCCGAGCACTGTTACAGCTGGGGTACATGGCATCCCCTGCCCTCCCGAGCACTGTTACAGCTGGGGTACATGGCATCCCCTGCCCTCCCGAGCACTGTTACAGCTGGGGTACATGGCATCCCTGCCCTCCCGAGCAATGTTACAGCTGGGGTACATGGCCATCCCCTGCCCTCTCGAGCACTGTTACAGCTGGGGTACATGGCATCCCTGCCTCCCGAGCACTGTTACAGCTGGGGTACATGGCATCCCCTGCCCTCCCGAGCACTGTTACAGCTGGGGTATATGGCAATCCCCTGCCCTCCTGAGCATGTTACAGCTGGGGTACATGGCATCCCCTGCCCTCCCGAGCAATGTTACAGCTGGGGTACATGCATCCCCTGCCCTCCCGAGCAATGTTACAGCTGGGGTACATGGCATCCCCTGCCCTCCCGAGCAATGTTACAGCTGGGGTACATGGCATCCCCTGCCCTCCCGAGCAATGTTACAGCTGGGGTACATGGCATCCCCTGCCCTCCCCGAGCAATGTTACAGCTGGGGTACATGGCATCCCCTGCCTCCCGAGCAATGTTACAGCTGGGGTACATTGCATCCCCTGCCCTCCCGAGCAATGTTACAGCTGGGGTACATGGCATCCCCTGCCTCCCGAGCAATGTTACAGCTGGGGTACATGGCATCCCTGTCCTAGCAATGTTAAGCAGCTGGGGTACATGGATCCCTGCACTCCCGTAGCATGTTTACAGCTGAGGTACAATGGCATCCCCTGCACTCCGAGCAAATGTTAGCTGGCGGTTACATGGCATCCCTGCCTCCGGCACTGTTACAGCTGGGGTACAGGCATCCCCTGCCCTCCGAGCAATGGTTACAAGCGGGTCATGGCATATGTAAAGTTTTTCACAAATACAGTAACATAGATTATCATACATAGCAGCATATGTGTAAGAACCTAGGATAACCCTCGGATGGAAGTTTTGCCATCATGCACTAGAATAAATAGTGCCATTCTACCAGCTGGCACTGATCGACAAAACAGTAACTGAACCTTTAAAAGGCCCTTAGTCACTGTGGTTAGGGAGGGACAGCAGAGAGTAGAGCTAACAAGGGGGTCCTTGACACTAATGCAATATTTTAAAAGTACATTGTCACTAAGAAAAACCAAGCACTGTCACCCTATACCAACAAGTGGTACAGTAATGTTTGAATTACTCACTAGTATTTAATCTTATATTATTTTCACTACCAGTACATGTATAACGTTATGACCAATAGCTGAATCAGTACATACTACTATATAGTAAGTCCTTGTTATTTGAGGTTTGATTCCTGCGAGAGTAGAAACATTGGGCGTGTTTCCTTACACGGTTGTATATATTCAACATCAGTAAAAATATGGCACCTGGGTGTTAGTGGACTGGTGTGGGTCAATCCTGGGTGTTGTGGACTGGTGGGTCACATCCTGGTTAGTGGACTGGTGTGGGTCACATCCGGTGTGTTAGTGGACCGGTGTGGGTCACATCTGGACAAAATGACCTAATTTGCGGGAAATGCTCAGCATAACTAACACTTTCTATATAGTAGTATGTTACTGATGTCAACTATGATCTGTATACTTGTACATGTACTGGTAGTAAATAAAGATATTATTGATTAAATTCCGCCAATATGGGTGCAGATATTTAAACTGAGCAGGCACAGTTTTTCAGTCCATACTGGACGTTTGTTGGTGTATAACCAGTGTGCCAGGCCCTAGACTACCTAGGTGTGCTGGCCACTAGACTTACAGGTGTGCAGGCCATAGACTTATCTAGGTGTGCAGGCCCTAGACTAATGTGGCAGGCAACTAGACTACAGGTGTGCAGGCCACTAGATACCAGTTGTGCAGGCACAGACTCCAGGGGTGTGCAGGCCATAGACTACCAGGTGTGCAGGGCCACTGACTACCAGGTGTGCAGGCCTACTAGACTACACTTGTGCTCGTAATATTTCCTGATCCAGTTGATTTCATTACTACCAGTACTGAGCCCACCACACCTGGTGTACCTTGGTGGTACTTGGCCTCCCGGTCGCCGGCTGCCTAGTAAATCTTGGCATTTCTTCAGATGTCTGATGCTTAATTTTTAGCAAGAATAATGGATTTTTTGCTAAGGGAAATGACCCAAAAAATAGAGTATATGTCCGTGGCTGCAGACACCCGGTTACGTTAGGTAGATTTTTCAGGAAAACGACAAGTGTCCCTGACGCGGGTCTTATCAGATGATGACCGCCTGTGGAGCTTTGGTCATCTGACCGAGGCCTTCCGCTGGCTTACCGATCCACCCCTTTAAAAATAATGGTCATTTATAACCAAATGATATACAGTTTTTTTTGACACCTGGTCATGTATTCTCTCTAAATACCCTGAACTTACAAATTATTCTGTACAACATTTTGCAAGATACTTAAC